TTGTTCACATCCAGTACATTGTTTACATTACATAATCCCAAAAATAAATTGTTTATCAAATGACATCACATAAAAGACATTCAGACACATGCTTGATAATTCTTCATTCTAACGGTTACCTGAGAACACAAGTTATTTTGAAAACGGTCAACATATATAATGTTGGTGAGTTCATAAGCAGGTTTGATATGAAAATGTTTTGTGTAGTTTGTAAAACCCAGAAAATCCGATATTTTCTGAAACGACAATTGTTTACGAAATAGGTGTGATGATCCATAAGTATATGCGTGAATGATTTCAAAACGTGTAAAAGTAGTATGTTTCTCATAATGAATTCTTGTATTATAGTTATCGAAGGTAAAAGTGAATAATGTTGTTCCCCCGGAAAACCCGATGTTTTCCGATATAAATAGTATGATCGTTTTATATTATTGTATCGTCACAACGAATAAATATGATTTCCCATGATTACTTAGATGGTATTGGATCTCTATGTGAGTCGTTATAACCATGCATAATAATGACTATTTCGTCTGTCTTGGCATTCTAGTGAAAGCCGGTATTGAATTTAAGATTTTGTCACCCTAGACTGGCCGAGTCTAACTGTAGCAAACAACTTAGGTGTGGGGGAGTCACCCCATATAGATCTATACACAAACTCTCGCTCTCCCTCCATGAGACTTTGATTATAACTACAGACTACGACCGACACTTATTGGTGTCGCCGTTATTACTCACTAAATCCAATGAAATTGAATAACCTTGTTTAACAACCTGATTTATGTTTACTTGAATAAAAGGTAAGCCTAACAGACGAAGAGAAGAGGACTACGGGGGCCCACTAATCACGTATGTTATTATAGGCTGTCGAGTATGCGACGGACACGTTAGCTCATCACACATAATGATTGATTTGGACCTTACTAGCAATGCAAATGGGCCACTACGGCCCAATAGCATGTAAAAGCCATTGAGGGTCTATTAAGCACGTAATTTGGTCACCTGAGGCCCAATAAACATGTGTAATTATATTGGGCCCATTAATCATGATATTGGGCCCCAAAGGCCCAATAGCACGAATAGAAGGTATTTTGGCCTAACCATTGAATTGTTTATGTTTTATCGAGTTTAAGTTCGTATTGTTGGTATTTGTTGTATGCTAAATGTTTATTCACGATGTTTAAAAAAACATCTTAACGTTTGAATTATAACGAAGCTTTATATATATATATATATATATATATATATATATATATATATATATTTAAAAAAATCATGCGTTATAAGCTTAATATTTTTAACCCAAACATTCATAATTGTTTATTTGGCCCAAAAACATTTAGATTGACCATTTTGGCCCCTTTTTCTTTAAAAATGGCACTTTTAGTCCCTTTTTATGAAAATTGACATTTTTTGTCCTTAAACCATTTTTCTTGACATTTTCCACCCAAACTTTATTTGAATAGAAATTTTAGTCCAAAACTATTGCATTTGTCATTTCCAGCCTTTATTTGTAAAAGTTTTACATTTTTGACCCAATTTTCGTAAATTTTAAAATTTTGACCCCAAAATCAAAAACTTTGCATTTTTAGTCCAATTTGGTAATAAAATCATTTTCAACCCCTGAAATAGTTTAATTATGTTTTAGACTCATAGTTTGTTAAGATGTACATTTCAGCCCCTCAAAAGCTAAAATTTATGTTTTTGACCATTTGAGAAGTATTATTTTCACAAAAATCAGCTTTTATACAAATAAATACCTTATAACCCTCACAAAATCCGATAATTATCAATTTACACCCAATCTTTGTTATTTTTGCAAAAATGACACTTGTAAAGTTCTTTGGCTTTGTTTTTCACTTTTTAAACTTAAGGACCCATAGATTTATGATGTATGTTGTTTATTTTGTTTTTTTTTATGATTCTTTCACCCTTTTTGCTATAGATCTCAAAATATCACAAGTATTACATATTATCACAACCAAAAACTAAAGAAATCACACATAACATGCAACCACACATAGATCATCACATAATACTTGTATTCTCCCCCAAAAACAAGTAAAAACCGAAAACAAGGGGTATGAACTCACCTTGCTTTGTTGCTCACGGTTTTGAAGAAGAAATGGAAAAGATTGATGAGATTCTTGGCCCTAACAATCTTCTTGAAGAGACCTTCGAATTTGAAGAGTTCTAGGGAGTATGATCAAGAATTTAAGGTGGTAAGAAGAGTGATTAAGTTGTAGAAAGAAAGTATGTTGACAAGATCTTACCACAAGTATGTATCTTGCAGTGATTTTTGGATGAAAACCTTCTTGAAATGCCCTAGATCTCGAAAATTTGGAAGGAAGAATGAAGGTGTTCTTGAGAGGATTTGGAAGTGAATTAAGTGTGGGTGTGTGTTGGTGTTCTCGGCCGAGAGTAGAAGAAGGAGAAGAGAGAGAGTGTGAGGTGACCATTATGGATGCATGTTGGTCCATGCATGGATACATGGTGTGCAATAAGGAGGTGGCAACTCCCAAAGTCAACCCTCCCCCATTTACATCTTTTTTTTCCACTTGGGCCGAGAGAGAGAATGGAAAGAAGTGGCTTGGGCCTTTAGTGCTTGAGTCCCATAATATGAGGCCCAATTTGATGGTTTTCGGCCCATTGGGCCCTTAAGAGGGTTTACGGCCCAATTAGAATGAAAGAATGGGTTTCACGGCCCATTGAAGTTTATTAGGTTTGTTATGGCCCAATAAGGCCCATTAAGGTAAACCAATTTATTTTGGATCCATTATGGCCCAAAATGTTAAGTCTCATGGAAATGGATCCAATTAGGGCCCATTTAAGAGTCCTAAGCCCAAAATAGTCAAATTGGAAGCTTATTGGTCCATTAGGCCCAATAAGAAAATCCTAGTCCATAATGGACTTAAACCGGGATTTTTAGGGTTTCCAATCTTTTGTTGACCATTTGAAGTGTTGTATAGAGTGTTTGATGGAATTTTATTGTCATTGAATAAACATCATGCATACTTTCAAGTTTTAGCCACAAATGTTACTCTTGTTAATGTTTACAAAAACCTTAGAATTCCTAGTTGTGACAGAGAAACCAATGACTTTTATCTTGCTCATCAATTGGGTGACCAATTGCAGCAAGTTGGTCGCAGACAGCTTTGAACTTGCGACCAAATTCAGAAACAGTAGAAGATCCTTTTTGGAGTTGCCTGAGAGAATCCTTGAGATTTTGCATTCGTTCTTGAGAATCATGACTGTAAGCAAGTTTAAGAGATCGCCAAATTTTGTGGGAGGTTTGAAGCCCTAGAATTTCAGCCATCGCTTCTTCAGATAAGGAAGACTGAAGAATAAGCAATGCACGTTGGTCTGCTTCCAGCCATAGCGTGTAAGCAGGGTTTGGAGAAGAGACTTCAGCAACAACTATGGGTTTTGGTGGTGGAGGAATCGAACCATCAACATAACCAGATATGCGTTGATAAGAGAGAAGGGGCAGAAGTTGATTCGGTCATAACAGATAATTGGTGGAGAAGAGTTTGATAGTGAGCATGTGCATAATCGTATTGAGAGGAATAGTGCCATCAGTGGGTTTAGAAGTAGAAGAGGCGTCGCCTGCCATGAAGAGGAGAAGAAGAGAAAGAGGCGTGACCTAGACTGATACCATATAAGGATTATAATATTTGGCTTGAATACTTTTGATTATTATTCACGTATATATAATACAGAGGATACAAAGATATACATGCCAATAAACTAGCCTAAACATAAGAAAATTAAATAAAATAAATGTTATCAGATTATCTTGACAGATGTCAAGAATTATCGCTAATAGTTTATTAGTTTAATCCGGATGGTAATAAACACTTTTAAGTGTTTGGGTTGTAAAAAAATTTAGCTTATTCCAGTGTCATACCCGTAATATGCATTTTTTGACAACTCATTTTGTTTTAATTTATTAGAAACTCCTTACTAAGGGTGTAAACTAAATTACACTTTTATACTTATTTTAAAAAACAATGATCTGTAACATGTCTTTCTCGGTTATTTTACATGCATAATAAAAATTTATGAAACACTAAAAAAACAAATTATAAACTTATTACACTTTGGTAGTTAATCTCAATTTTTTTTATTTCTAAAACTTGTTGTTTTTACACCGGATGAGTTAACAAGCACTTAATAAAACATAATTTGTTTTTTTCTAAATAAGGAATCCGGAGCACCCCTATAGAAGGATATTGTAAAGCTGTCACAGACTTCTTGGAGAAAAAAAAAATCTTGCTTTCTCTTCTTGCGACTATATTGTAAATGTTATTAGGTTAGATTGCTTTTCTATGCTTGCATCTTCTTGTACAGTTTATGTATTACTCAATGAAATCCATCCAAAGCCTTCAATTCGATTATCTCGTATTTTTTATTTATTGTAAAATACATTCATAGCTGTGAGTTTTTAGCTATTTTGTCCACTTCTAAGTTGCCATATTTTAAGAAAGTTACATGTTGTGTTAGTCTAGTTATAGTATATATATATCTTAATTATCTTATCTTTTGTAATACTTTTGTTCAATATGTATGAAACCGAGAGCAATAATGTTAAATAGTTATAGTTGTCACATGATATGCTTAAGGGTACGGTAAAAATTATATATTATTCCGATTTTGATCATCTCGTGCATTATGAAGCTCAAATAATGCAACTATGAGAACATTATAAAGCTCAAATAATGCCAACAATGTACTATAAAAGAATAGGTTTATGATTTGTGGACCAAGGTTGTTAATGAAAAAGTGAGAACTATTGAATAATATATAGCATGAACGTTTAACCACTTAAGCATGCGTAAATTTCTCCAATATAACCAATTGTTTTACGACTTTTTTATAAAGTATCTACCGACACGATCTTTTTTAAGCAAACAAAAACGACCTGTTACGTTATTAATTTGATCTTATATACCCTTAATTGATTGAGAATTTAGTTGTTTAAAACATTGCAATTAGCCATGCATAATCGTTGACAAAGGTAAATAATTTATGAGGAACATGGAAAATTATTTCCCAGATATTTTTTTCCTCCTCGGGTTGTTTTCATTGCCATTGACAATTGAACATCTAAAAAGGAAAAAAGAAATCAAAAAATTCCAAAAAAAGAAAGAAAGAAAGAAAAGAACAAGATCTTTTCTTTTGGGTGTGAATTCCTCTAGCTTGATAAGCCATGCCATTTCTTCTAAACAAACTTCAAGAATTTGACATTGATGAACATCATCCCCATCTCTTTCCTTCAAACCATCTGTGCATTACAATATGTACATTTTGTTAGGACAATTTACAGACATGAAAATGTTATGAAGTATAACACCACAATCCATTAAAAAAACAGTGAACTTAACTGGTTTTGTTGCAGTTGAGTTCCAGAGACAGAGGGGTGGAAGAACCCAAAGTGTTCTTGATATGTAGATTTATCCTACAAAATAAAGAATTTATTGCTTTAATCATACTATTTGTAGCAAACTAAAGAATGTAGGTAGTTCAATTTTCATAGAAAGTACCTCAAAGTAGGTTGTGGAATAGCCCTGTGAGTAGTCTCTAATGTCGTTATCCTCCATTGAAGCTTCCTTGTTGGGCACTGTTAGATTGTTCTGAAAAAAAAAAAGTTACGAAAATTACTTCCAGAAGATAATTTTATTAAAAACCCATTTTGTTGAAGATTCAAAGAAAGGAAAACTAATGAATGAAGTGGGAAGAACATTACTTACATTTGAGAAGTTGAAGAAAGGAGAGCTAGCAGTATCATCAAGAAAAGAAGGAAAATCTTGAACCTTTCTATGAAACTTTGATCCCTGTTCAATCTTTTTTCTTTTCCCATTTGTAGGATGATCGATTAATGTAGGAAGAGTGGTGTAAACACAGTAGCCACCATGGCTGTTGTTGTTGAAGCATTCTTCTTGTTCTTGAAAATGTGGTGGCCCAGAAGATGCATCTGAAACCATAGACATATCTTCTTCTTCTTCTTCTTCTTCTTCTTCTTCTTCTTCTTCTTCTTCTTCTTCTTCTTCTTCTTCTTCTTCTTCTTCTTCTTCTTCTTCTTCTTCTTCTTCCTCCTCTTTATGTATAAAGGATCCTTTTTTACAGAGGAAATCATCGACATGGTTGTGGTTTTGAAGAGAATGTGAAGGGTACATCGACTGTTCCAAGTACAAAGTCCAACCAGACTCGCACCCACTACTGCATTCTGAGCCAAAAACTTCTTCCATCTTCGCACAACTTTCTTTCAATTAATCAAAATCCCAAACGGGGTTTTCTTTTTTCAAGATTGTATTACAGAAACTAAGATGAATGAAAAAAAACAGGGGTGAGATAGATATGTGTACAACATGGGTATATATATATATATATATATATATATATATATATATATATATATATATATATATATATATATATATTGACTCTGTTTCTTTATGTGCAGAGCATGGAGTGATGAATTGGGGGTTGGGGGGTGGGGTGGGGGTGGGGGTGGGGGTGGGGGTGGGGAAGGAAAAGAGAAATCAGTGGCAAATCTTAGAGTAATTTTGTCGTGATGTAGAGCATTCGAGGGGGTGACTAAGCAAGTAAATCATAAAGTGCCAGTTGGGTTGGTCTATCTAGATGTTTATCAATGTCGCTTTGTGTCGCTCTATTTAAAATGTTTGATATAATGTAAAAGTAATCTAGTTTAATTTAATATTTACTGTCATGTGTAATTTAATAAAGGAATAAGTAAACAAGAAGACTTCGTGGCACTCGGTTTATGTAAACTTACTCCATCTGAACCTTGTCGCCGTTATTATGACCGGGCATGAAACATGGCCCACATTTATTTGTGGTCGAATTTTAATTTAATGTTTGAAATAAAATACATATATCTAAAACTAAGACTACATGGCTTCTAGCTTAGCGGTATCAGGTGGGTGTCCTTTTTTTTTGAGGTTGAGGGTTCAAGTACCGTCGTGGACATAAGTGGAAATTAGGTGTTATGTTAGAAGTAGATTAAATTTACCGGTTAAAAAAAAATCTAAAAATAGGATTTACCGATTTCTTTAAATGTAAACTTCATTTAGAAATAATAATAATAAACATTTATATGGTCACAAGGCAGAGAATGGTGGTTTGACTGAAATGTGAGGAAGGAAGAAGAGTACGGCGATGATGGATTCCAGATCCCTTGACGATCCCTCGGTGTGCATCCTTCCGGGTGGCACAAACAAGAAGGAGATTAGGGGTCTGTGTGAGAAGTTTGGTTTGTTGGTGGATATTTATCTTGCTGGTAGAAGGGATGCTTCTGGTTCATTCTTCGCATTCGTGAGATTTGCCAATGTTGGGAACCTCGAGGTTGTCGTGGATGCTCTGAATAGAATTTACCTAAGAGGGAATAATTTCCTAGCAAACCTTGCCAAGCATCTGAGAAAACAGAGTTCGGTGGGACATTCAGTAAGTTGGCGATTGCTAAGTCGGTTGTTCCACCTTTGGGTGGCAAGAATTCTTTTCATTGCAGGGACGATAGATCTTTCGTTGATGTCGTGAGAGGTATGTCGGCTTCTACTGTTAATCATCCTTTGGGTTTATTGTGTTTCAAAGTGGTTCAAGATTGGACAAGTAAGGCTTCCCTGGTGGGGGAGGTTAAGAATTTTAACATTTTGTGTAACTTCCCTTCGTTGTTGGAGCTGGAGGGTTACGATGTCTCTAAAACTAAGTATTTGGGTGCCATGCAAGTTTTCCTAAAATGCAAATCGGATAGGGCAACGAATATGTTCAAAGTCAATAAATGCATATGGCTCAAGTGGTTCGTTTGGATGGATCATGTTGATTTGAAATTTACTCGGTTCGAGAGGATTGATTGGTTAAAATTACTGGGATGTCGCTTCAAGCTTGGGACAGATCATACTTTGAGACTGTCGTCGGGTGTTTCGGGATGGTCAACATCAGTCCCTTTTGGAACAGTCACGATGTGTCTTACGGTAAACTCTATATACTTACGGCCTCCATGAAAAAAATGAAGAAGTCAAGGTCTCAATTGATGGGAGCGTGCATAGGATTGGGGTTTTTGAAGTTGACAATGACTGGGTTCTGTTTAAGGAATTTGTTACAGAACCGGTGTCGGACTTCGACGATGGTCTTGATTATGTAGATGGTGTCTCTGATACATGGCAACCATATGATGTGGAAATTGAAAAAGGTGAATTCAATCCTAATGGCAGTGGCTATGTAAGCATTGATGCAAATGTTTTTTTCGTCGGAGCATCAGGCTACGGATCGTCCGGCGGCTGATGTGTGGGTGAAGGAAACACATATTCCAAGAGGTTAGGAGATCAAAGGGTCTCATGGGAAGTCGTTGAATGATTGTAACATAAATATGGCAGCAAATTTCGATTCCAATGCAGATTATATAAATTCGGATTCTCTAATTGTGGGCTCAAGGAATAACAACATTGGGCCTCCTTTTGCAGTCAATGTGATGCTAATAGGACTGAGCATGCTCCTTGCCCGGTGGTTAGCAGTTTGTAATTTGACTTAGGTGACTCCACAGTTAAGAGATGTCGAACTAAAAAGAAGAAGAATGGAGATAAATCGTTGCACGTGAAGACCTCCTACAGGCGTCCTATTCCCTTCCCCTCCTGTAACTCGGTAGGTTCTCCGTCATCGATCTTAATCATGATGCCCCCAAGTTGCAGAATTTAAAAATTGACTCTCCTACCACCAGTTGCTCTTATTCCCATGAACTGGAGAACACAATTGCCATCGGGAACCAAGTGGGGTTTCAAATTAGGAGTGAATGTCATGAGGTCATTCGTATGCTTTTCGGTGAAGGTGTAAAGAAAGTTAACTCATTAATTTGATGTCTCTAAACATAAAGGGATTACGGGAGACTCACAAATTCGAGTGGATTAAGAGGTTAAGGTGGGTAAATAATGTGTATGTTTATGGGTTTCAAGAATCTCGGCTTTCTTCTCTCCATGGTGACATTAACGATTGGTGGGGGCATCTGGATGTGGGTTTAGATTTTGTGGAGTCCGTTGGAAAGTCAGGAGGGCCGGTAAGTTTCTGAGACAAAAACCATTTTCAAGTTATTGATTGCATTAAATCTCGTCACTTCTTGGCTATTGTTGGGTATTGGAGTGGAATTCCAGGTGAAACTATTTGAGTGCATGTTTACGCCCCTCAGGTACCCTGTGAGAAAAAAAGAGTTATGGTCTAAACTGTAAAACTTGATGAATTCTAGACCAACTAATTGGGTAATCTTCATTGCTTTCAATGTAGTTAGGAAGCTTGCCAAGAGCTTTAATTATTCCTTTTGCCATAGCATTGTTGTTGTTTTCAACAAATTCACAAGGGACACATGTCTCCTATATTTGAATATGGGAGGCAGAAATTTCACTTATTTCTGTGATGATGGATGCAATAGTATTTTGGTTTGTCCAAACTTTATGGTGGCTTTTCCAAACTCCACTATTGTTGCCCTTTCTAGAGAACATTCACATCATTCGCCAATTCTCCACCGTACCGAGTATATAGATTTTAGACCTCGTCCTTTCAGATTCTTTAATTCCTGGATGTTTTGGAAAGGCTTTGACGATATTATTAAGATGGCTTGGAACAATTATATTGGTGGTGGGGCTCATGACAAGCTTAAATATGTCAAAGACACTATTAAGAACTGGAGGATATTAGAGTTTGATAAAGAAAATAAAGTTTTACTTGATCTGAAGGATAAGGTAAACAACATTAAGCTGGAAGCCAATACCATATCTCTTACGGTTTCCGAATTAGTGGAGAGAAGAGAAATTAAACAGCGTATTCTTGATATGGAGAAACTTGCAAAACTCAACTTAATTCAAAAAGCCAAGATCAAGACGGTGTGTGATGGTGATGAGAATACTCAGTATTTTTCATAACTCTTTGAAAATTAAAAACATGAAATGTAGTATTCATGGTCTCATGATAAACTAGATTACGGATGTTGATACGATCAAGAAGGAAGCGTGGAGATTTTTTGGAGACAAATTTTGTGAAAACTGCCCCATTCGGCCACCATTCCTTAATCCGAATTTTCTTAAAATTTCAAATTTTAACAGGAGTTTCCTTGAAGCCCATTTTGATGTTACGGAAATCAGGATGTGGTATTGAGTTATGGTAACGTTAAATCCCCTGGGTCGGACGGATTCATGTTTAAATTCGTTAACCATTATTCGAAGATTATTCAAGGAGATATTATGAAATTCATCAAGCATTTTGAAAACTATGGTTGTTTTTAGAAGGGGAGTAACTTCTCCTTCATCTCTCCTTAATTCCGAAGGTCAAAAATCCGCTCACTATACATGAATTTCTACCCATAAATCTAACTAGATGTGTGTACAAAATTATTGCCAAGACGCTTGCTACTAGAATTAAGAGGGTTATTGGCTCGGTGATAGGTAAGGTGCAAACCACCTTTATTGAGGGTTGAAATATTATAGATGGGCCAATGATTGTCAACAAGGTGTGTTCTTGGGCTAAAAAGATCCAAAAAGAAGGTGTTCATTTTCAAAGTAGATTTCGACAAAGCCTTGGACTCTATTAATTGAAACTATTTAGAGTCAGTCATGAAGCAAATGGGTTTTGGTGACAAATGGTTATTTTGGATTAAAGGTTGCCTTTCCTCTTCTCGATCTTCTATTCTTCTCAATAGGTCTACCACTAAAGATTTTCCAATCACCAGAAGGGGTTCGGCAAGGGGATCCTCTCTCTTCCTTCCTCTTCATAATTTCCATGGAGGGTTTACATGTTTCCATGCGCACCCCTTGTGACAAGTCTCTTTTTTCTGGTGTAAAAATTCCAAATGATGGTCCTTTTATTTCACACCTATTTTATGCCGATGATGCCATGTTTTATGGAAATTCGAAAAGCTCTAATTTCATTAGCTTTGCGAGATTTTTGAGGTGCTTTTGTGCATCTTTGGGGCTTAAAGTTAACTTTCATAAATCCATGGTTTATGAAATTAGGGTTTCGGTGAATGAGATTTCTAGTTGTACTAGAATTCTTAGGTATGATGCGGTGTCGCTTCCTTTTAATTATCTTGGTGTTCCGGTTGGAGCAAATATGTTGCTTAAAAAGAATTGGTAGTCCGTCATTGATCATGTTCAAAGAAAACTCTCAATGTGGAAAGCTAAGTCATTATCTTTTGGAGGTCGCTTAACCCTTGTCAAGTCCGTCTTGAGTAGTCTTCCACTTTATTATTTCTCCCTTTTTAAAGCCCCAGTTTCATTTATTAATAATGTTGAGAAGTTACGGAGACGCTTCTTATGGAGAGGAGGTGAGGATAAATGTAAAATTAATTGGATGGCCTGGAAGGTGTTGCTTGGCCCGAAATCATCAGGAGGTCTTGGGGTCGGGTCTCTCGTTTCTCTTAACTAGGCACTCCTAATAAAATAGTTATGGAGGTTCAAAAATGAGATGGGTACTTTATGGAGACAGGTGGTCTGCGGTATTCAAAATTGTAAAAGGAAACCTACTGCTTCTTGGGATAAGAAATCTCTCCCTGCCACTTGGAGTAGCATTGTCAAAGTCATTTCGGCTCTTGGAGACATAGATATTGACCTTTCACACATTTTCGAGTTTTTTATAGGGGATAGTGCTCATACTCTCTTTTAGCTTGATAATTAATTAGGGAACCGGTTGTTGGCAAACAAATTTCCTCCCCTCTACACATTAGACAGGAGGAAATCTTGTGTTTTAGCTGATAGATGATATGGGGGCACTTTTTCCGAGGATTGGAAGAGGCAGCCCAATAGCCCACAAGAACCGATGGACCTGAACTCGATTGTTGGGATGTTTGTCGTTATGGTTCGTTCTAATGGGCCTGATAGTTGGAGATTAAGGCTTTCAAGTGATGACATGTTATTTGTGAGTGATCTTAAGGCCCTTATTGATAGTAAGGTGTTTGTTCTTTTAAGTAACCCCACGGTCTGGCTGCATGGGATTCCCATTAAATGCATCAATTTTGTTTGGCGGGCTTGTTTGGGGTGTATCCCCACGGTGATGGCTCTTCCCAAAAGAGGGATTAATATCACTTATTTTTCTTGTCAAATGTGCTCTAATGGCTTGGATGAGGGGAATCATATTCTCATGGTTTGCCTGATTGTGTTCGCTGTTCTCGTCTGGATTAATTGGTGTAGCATCCCATTTCAAAGGTTCTCTTCGGTTTCCGAGTTTATGAATTTCATGGCTTCTTGGGGGAATTGTCCTAAAAAAAGAAAAATACTTCTTGCAATTTGTTACGGGTTATGTGGTGTATGTGGAAAGCAAGTAATGATGTGGTGTTTAACAAGTCTCACTCTTCTTCAACAAAGCTGGCAAATAATGTCATTTCTTTGGTTTTTAATTGGTTGAAACACAGTGATTGTTTTGGAATTTGTAAATAAGAGTTTTGGGTTTATTCCCCTTTTGACATTATGTAAGATGTTTGTTTTTTTCTTTGTGCGGTATTTTTTTTTCTTTTAGGTTGTGGCTCTTTATAAAATCCGTCGGTTCCAAAAAAAAATTATTATAATGAATATTAACCATTTTTATATGTTCTTTTATTCTTCTTTGCATCTTATATTATATGTGTTGAATACAAGAAATTTAACATTCACAAGTTTGATAGCTATGATCTTGGCTTCTAGAAAATGTAAATAAAAATTTTCTCTACAAGGAAAAGGTTTACACATTCTTAGATGAACAAAACTTGAATCGATGAAACATGATGATTGTGCGGTGTTGGATCGAAAGGCTTTTGGTGTGGTCATATTATCACATATAAAAAAATGTTATGTATATTATTACTAATGAGAAATCACAATTTTAATTGATCAAGACGATTTCCAATATGTAGGAAAACGTTACAAATAAAATTTTCTTGATTTGATAGTTGGTGGATAGAAAGATAACAGAAGTCATTTTAGTGATAAATCATGTAAACAAATTTAATTTGATTAGATTCAGATTAATATTATTGGATTAATATGTCTAAGGTCTTAACTAAATTCGTATAATCTTGTGAATAAAAATAAAGTGTTTTTTTGGGTTGCCCTCATAACCATAAATAGTTAGGAATGATAAGAGGAGAGAGAAGAAATGATTTATTAAAATATTATATGATTAATAAATCGATTAGAAATTGATTAGAATTAATTTAGAATTAATTAGAAATTAATTTTGGATTAATTAGAATTGATTAAAGGCATAAGGGTTTAACTGCAATTGTTTAATAGTTGAGCAAATGAGACAATTCTAGAACCCTCCGAATGTGG